CCACGGCCTCTGATGTGGCTAACACCCGTTTGCCCAGGCCTTTTGAGTAGTGTGTCGGCGTGTGGTATATGACCCAAAAGGCTTCTCTCGCGTCCACAGGGTGGTTCGCATCAATTACGTGGACAAGGATTGAGCTTGAGAGCGATCTATTCTCTCCTTTGCCGAGCCAGGCTGGTATGTGCTTGCGTATTCTCTTCTCCAGACGTCACGTTGTTCGGCCAATATATTCCGCTCCACAGAAGCAGGACTCTTGTAAATTGCTGCCAACAATATTTAAGGAAGGCTCCAAGACCCATAGGCCCCCTAACCAAAGCCCATCTCGATAGTCTCAAGGAGCTTCGCCTAAATGAAAATATATTGCTTACAAGGCCGGAGAAGGTTTCGGGAATTGTGCTAATGGACATTTGGATTATGTGACGAAACTAGAAGGAATATTATCGGATCGAACCGGACTGAGGCAAACATAATTTTTCCCCAACTGGATTAACACAGTGCATTAACAAGGAAATCGATGGATTGCACTGGCCATTAAATTTTTTGCAAATATGCAAATAAAATATTATTAGTTAGCTAGTGGTTAGGTAGAACACCATCTGCGCTTGGGATATGCATAGTGGGTAATGAGCCTGATGTACTATCTTTAAATCAAATATTAATCGCGATTACCTCGGAGATTGTCCTGTGTTCATACTCACGATCAAAATCAAATGAGTGGAAAATATTATTGCGATTGCAATAATGAAAAAAAACTGTTTTAATTTACATCACATTTTTACTTCCTGACACATTGTTGGTTCATCGATTTTCTTGTTAGTGCACTGTGTTGATCCAGTTGCGAAAGAGAGTATACTTGCTTGACGCATGTCAGTTAGGCTTCCTGGACAAAAGGACGAGGTGATTTCTTTAATTTCATCTTTAGAAAAATGGCGTTTATTTTTCCCAAGTTTGGGTGCAGGAGATACATTGACTTTATACACTTCCAGTACGCTAGACAGTGTAGCCGGTCTAGCGTATGAAAGGTTGTTAATGACTGGGAATAATTTTGAAAATACCTTCCTTTTAATCGACGAGACACACAATTAAAAAAGAACTGACCTTAGTGAAGGCAAAAAAACATTTAAGGCGGAAGCACTTTTAGGTGTTTGAACAATGGCACGTTAAGGAACAAACGCGGAGACAAAGAGGAGCATATGCAAAAAAAGTTGGTACAGAGAACACTCACAGGAAAGTTTAAAAACTATGCTTTTGATATTTAATAAGCGAGATGCCCATTGTCTGTTGTTCAAAAAAGGTTTTCCGCACTTAGACATAGGGTTGTCCTAAAAAAGTACATTTTTTGAAGGGCAGATGGCTGTGTTTGTACTTTCTCTGAAGCTGAATGCATACAGAAAATGGACAAAAGTTCCTTACGTATTCACTCTCCCGAGCGATAATGAATCTTTTTTGCACTTTAAGGAGAATGTTTAGCACTGTGTAGCTGGGCGCCGTGTTTCCAATGTGTTGTAGGTATCCCTTTACATCTTTGTAAACGTACGACAGGACTCCTTAGAAGATTTCCACGGGTCTTGTTCGGTGAATGTTGGAAATTAGTAACAAAAAACGGATTAAAGAGAATTTTGGATAGGTATTCCAGCGGTCTAACACAACTCCCCGAGTCCATCTAGGTATTACTTTGTTGCCGA